AGCGAAGCAGACCATCAAGATTGATTTCGGTGTCAGCTTGAGCAATTTACTCCTCTTTGGTATGGCTCTTTTTTTCAATAGCTAAGAACTCCTCAGCAAAATCAGCTCGTTGCACTTCCCGAATTATTTGTACGTTAGCTTGGTTGATCTCGTCTGGAGTAAGAGGACTAATTAACCGATCTTCCTACTTTGCATGGCAGTTTGAAACAGATCTGAGAACCCACGATGTCACTCGTTTGAGTCGTAGCCAACTTGACCAATGGGTAAGTTTTAGGACTTTTGAGACTTGGACAAAAACGAAACTGCGTGGTGGGAAACTTGCAATTGGACGGTCTTCCTTTTCTCGGATTTAACCTCTGGACCCTCTTCGATTTTAATTTTTAGCCATTCGTTTTGTGCTTCTGGAAGAAATTTCGGCCCGTTCCACCAAATTGCCCTTGACCTAAGATCTTAAACATTTATCCCACAAGAACATATGCCAGCTGGGTTTTATTTGGTTGCAGCGTATTGCCATTGCTGTGGATAAGTTAGACGTTGGATTTCTCTAATTCTGTTCACCACGAGAGCGGAGCGCCTCCTGTCGCATTTGAATTCAGTAGAGCCGTCGATCCAATTCCCCCTTGGGCGTAAAAAGGATAGACATATGCCCTTTCTTGATTTAAATGTGTCCTAAGGGGTTCAGGGTAATTTAGAGACAAGTGTCTACCGTAAACCTACCCACACCAACAAATACCTCGCTTTCGATTCTCACCACCCTATTTGCCTTAAAAAAGTCTGTAGCCAAAACTTTACTTAGGAAGGCTGACTGTCTACCATCTTCACTCGATTTGAAGCCCGAGGAGAGAAAAAATGTTTCTAATGTCCTAAAGGCAAATGGCTAAACAAAAACCTTTTTCCATAACTGCCAAAAACCAGTTACAACTAGTAACGCTCTTGATGAAAGGGAACCAGCGAATTGTTTTGCTGTTATTCCTTACATTCAGGGTGTTACGGAACCCATCAAGAGAATTTTGAATAGCCACAACGTTAAAGTTGCTCAAAAATCTTTTCGGACTTTGGGGCATATTTTCGCCAAACCTAAGGACCCTGTCACGAAAGAACAACGAACCGACGCCAATTATTCTATTCCTTGCAATGACTGTGATAACGAATACGTCGGACAGACCAAACGTCAATTTGGTAAGCGTTTAAAAGAGAATCAACAAGCGGTTTTCTTTTGCAAAAAGGAAAATTCAGCTTTAGTGATCATATAAAAGGACCTCTTGTTGTAGCGTTTAGATCACCCCTGATGAAGGCACTAGACAGGAGTGTCGAAACGTTGGGTCTATGAATTGTAACTTCTTCGGTTACATTCATTAAATCTGTAAACCAGAGTAGCATCAAACCATGTCTAATTTCAAAAAGCTGTCTAAGGAAAAAAGAAAGAAAAGAGTGTTCTTAAATAAATTATGACGCACCTCTGAATAAACGATATCAACATCGAAATACTTTCTATATACCTTTCATATCACACAGTTTAAGAATACAAAATATTCTTTGCTGCACGTAGTGTGATACGAGGCTTTTCAACTTTTGAAATTTTCGATGTCACAAGGGTCAAAAAAGGGCCTTTTGCAGCTTTGACTATTAAGAACTCTAAAAATTTTTATTTTAACGTATTTCCAGAAACTTGTGTGGTTTTAATTACTTGCTACCAAATATAGTTTATTAGGCAAAGTTTGAGGGAAAACTTTTTTCCGATGCGAAATACCTTGGACCGCTCTTGCGGAGATCGCCTCTTAAATTCGTGTGGGGAAAATTTCGATCCACACACCCACAACGAGGTGGCCAATGTAATTATACTTCCAGTGAGCTACTATTAATTACGTGTTATGGTTTTTATAATGAATGGTCAATTGCATTGCCAACAACTCTATTCTTAGCAGTAGGACCTCTAGTGCACTCTATACAAACTTCAAGGTTAATTAATCCAAGAAGAACCATGTTTAAGGCTATGAACTGTTTAACTTTTAGAAGAAATTGTTTATCGTGAGTAAACCATGAGCCGATTATGAGCCTACTCTGAAAGAAAAGAAAGCAGAAAAGAAAGCTAATGAACGTGTACGGTAAGATAACACGCTAAGCAATAGACAGAGTAAAATTATCCAACGACTTGAAGAGCGAAAATAAAGTGATCCTTGTACACGCCAGAAAAACCTAGAAACAGTTTAAACTCAATTTCAAGGCCCCTTTTCTCAAATGAGGCTTAAGTCTAATCCCGCATTAACAATATCGATGCCGCGTAGACAATCAGCGATAAGGAAAAAAAAAAGGAAGGAAAACGTAACAAGCGGCATTTGCGATCACCAACTTTTTCCTTGACCGGACAGTCTATGTAAAAAAATAGGACAGCGAGATCGGTCATCAGGTAAAACCGTACCTTATCACAATTCGAAAAAAATCTACACGACGTACTCTTTATAACTAAATAGGATTCTGTAAACTGATATATTTTCTTGGGAATTCACTTTTCAACGAATATCGGTTTTCTTATTGAACACACATTTATTTCCTAGGTTTACTATGCAAAGGCAAAATGGGATAATCCTTCAATGTCGGTATAAACTATCTGCATCGTATAATAAGCCGCGATAATAACTCGTGCACAACCGTTCAGTCCTGTTTGAATCAAACAACCAATAAATGTGAAATAAGTTACGGCCATAGTGTTCTGGCAACAAGACTAACTTCAATTCTTCAGTTTTCTATCACATGGAAATGACACATTATGAGTAGCCTGCATTTAAATTCAGTTTGATTCAGAATGTTTAAACTTGCTCTCAGCCCCATTCCGTGGGTGCGGTAGACACGTATTCCAAAATCATTTGAAAATCCAAGCCTTATTCACTACGAAAACTCATTAATGTGGGAGATTTAAGCAGTTTCATGGACTTAAAAATCAATTTACACTCACCTAAGGGCGACACAAGAGGGCGAAAACCAACATTCTTACAGCCTCGAGTATAACATCTGGTTTTTCAGTTTCATTGACAACCACCGTCGGCTTTTGAAATACAGATAATTATCTCTGTAAGAACGGTCCGGGGCATTTCGAATTTCGCATTGAAGGTTTTCCCTCGATGGAATTACTTGACAGAGTCACTGGTCAAGGTGTATTTCAGTGTGTGCTGTTATCGCCGGTAACACTAAATAGAATCCTGTAGTTTGGTTCTGAAATGTTCATACAGGTTTTAATAGCGTAAATTGTCAGAACTCAAATATGCATAGAATTGCACAGGCCAAATTTTTAAAAAAGAGTTTGCCATTCAAAATGTTAAGCGAGCGCTAATCAAATTATGATATTCGATGCGTTGTTGTTGACGTCTTTCGTCACGAGAGGGTAAAATTTGTCAAATTCTGGCCTTTTGAAATGTTTATAGTATCAATCGGTGTAGTCTAAAAGCTCTGCCCTACTATCTTTTCAACTTGAAATGGTTAAAATCTAAGATTTATTGAGCTACTTATATAAAACGGTCGGAGTTTGTTCAATGAAATAATTTGCATAATCGGCTATCACGCTAACAAAATCGCTGAAAGTGTGAAGTCACCGCGGCGAACAAAATTAATAAGTGCAAGATGTTTTTATATTTTTCTGCAGCCAAACATCTTATTAGAAGAAATAAAGCGGAGTTTTCAATGGTCTGGTCTGGACTTGAGCAATATCAACCAAGTAGGAAAGAGTACTTTCGACCAATTTCAGAAAGCTGTCTAACGAGTGTTTTTAAATAAATTATGACGAACCCCTGAATAAACAAATATCAAAATTGAAATACTTTTTATTCACCTAACATATTACACAGTTTAAAAATACAAAATATTTTTTGTTGCATGCGGTGTGATACAAGGGCCAGGGTATTCAACTTTTGAAATTTTCGATGTCGCAAGAGGTCAAAAAAGGCTTTTAGCAGCTTTGACTTTTGAGAGCTCTAAAAATTTCATTTTAACGTATTTCCAGAAACTAATGTGGTTTTATTTACTTGCTACCAAAGATAGTTTATTGGGCAAAGTTTGAGGTAAAACTTTTTTCCGATGCGAAATACCTTGGACCGCTCTTACAGAGATCGCCAGTTAATTATCTGTATTTCAAAAGCCGACGGTGGTTGTCAAAAAAATCGAAAGACTCTATTACCAATATTTTTCAGAATACGACGCAGCTGCTCATTAAAAAGCGAGGCATTAACATATTTTTATTCTCTAGTTGTTAATTATTCATGGACAAAATCCCATTATTTCCAAGTTAACCAGATGTTATTCTCGAGGCTGTAAGAATACTGGTTTTCGCCCTCTTCTGTCGCCTTTAGGTGAGTATATTGATTCTTTCTTAAATCTCTCACCTTAATGATTTTTCGTAATGATAAATGCTTCTTGAGTTTTCAAATGATTTTGGAATACGTGTCTACCACACCGACGGAATGGGGCTGAGAACAAATTTAAACATTCTGAATTTAAATTCAAATGCTGGTTAGCCATCATGTGTTATTTTCATGTGATAGAAAACTGAAGTATTGAAGAAGTCAGTCTTGTTACCAGAACACTATGGCCGTAAATCATACACCCATGAACCTATTTCAGATTTCAGGAATGAACGGTTGTGCATTAACCAGGGCACGAGTGATGATCACGGCTTATTATACGATGGAGATAGTTTACACTGACCTTGAAGAATTAATCCATTTTTCCTTTACATAAAAAATATAGGGAGGAAAAAATGCGTTCAAATAAGAAAAGCGATACTCATTTAAAAGTGAAGTCCCAACAAAAAAATTTTTAAATCAGCTTTTAGAATTCTATTCATAGACCGTTATGGAGAGTAGTCATGTATTTTTTTTTTTTTCGAATTGTGATAAGGAACGGTTTCACGTAATGACCAATCTCGCTGTTCCATTTTTACATAGACTGTTCAGCCAGGGGAAAAGTTGGTGATCGCAAACGTCCCTTGTTACGTTTTACTTTCCTTAAACATGGTTCCCCTTGGATATGGCCTCGAATTCAGAGTCAAGGTATCAGTTTTGGTTCTTTTCATATTGTTAAGTATGAAATTTGCTACCGCAAACTCTAATAACAACCAAAACCATAAAGAAGTGGCATTTTACAGAATACGAAGCACGTCACTAGTAGGCAACATTACCTTGATCAAGTCAGTGAAGCGAGAAATGGACTGTGCTCTCAAGTGTCTACGAAATTATCCACAAAGTTGCCTTTCATTCAACTTTGGAAGGGATTCCATTCATAAGATGCTTACCTGCGAACTCAGCAATTCTGAAAGGGTCCTAGAGCCAAATAGGATGCAAAGCAGAATAGGGTTTGATTATCTTGGAGTGCAAAAGGGGGTAAGTTTGTTAATATTTGTTATACTTTATTGAGATAATTTCCAAGAATGAACTATCCAGTTTGCCGAGGCTCATCTATAGGATTAAAACTTCGCTCACAAACGTTGGTCTTACCATGAAGTTCGGTTTCGGTAGTTTGCAGAAGCAACGAGTTCAGGGAGGGAATAAAAAGCCTTGCAAGCAGCAGTCTAGATTCAGTAGCTTTATGGAAATATTTTTACCACATGGAGCTCAGCGGGAACAGAGAGGAGATCAGTCGTTACAAATATTGAGCGAAGAGACTACCATAGAGATATACTTTTAGTTAGCTGCCGATGCTAAAATGGGATGGAGCGGGATCATTTGAATAGTGCAGAGTATTTGGTGCAGGGGATGAGGTCAATTTTATCTCGACACAACAAAAATCCTCCGGAACTCCAGGCGATAATTAATGAGCGGTCCTAACAGGAAAAATGCATTTCTGTTCAAAGTATCTGTCCAAGTTCTTCCCATGCTTGACATTCCCATGCAGAAATGGGGGATCGTGTGAGAATGGTCCGGAGCTAAAGATGTTTTCGTGCATCTGTCCACTGGAGATCAGAGCGCTTCCTTATATTGACAACAAATGTAACGTTGGTAAGTACGATTATAATAATAATGATGACAGTGATAGAAATAATAATAATAATAATAATAATAATAATAACAATAATGATTACAGTAATGATAATGATGGTAATAATAATAATAATAATAATAATAATAATAACTGACCACTCTCCTAGTGGGGCTTTACAGGGCCAATACAAACAGATTAAAACAAATATCGTAAAAAAAAAAGTTTTTAAAGGAGCCTATTACTTGGGCTCCTGGTTTGATTTATTAAAAAGCATAGTGTGCCGTGTCATGGCACTTGTTCACCTTTGTCCACGTTTTCACGTGGGGGGTCTCATATTACAATAACACTAGCGCAACTTCTAAACTGGAAAATGCAACACAGGGACGAGGTGGCCATGGAGGATAAGATGCTGACTAGGAACCGACCAGAAGACGATTTTATTTCGCGTTTGTTGTTGCATTATTTTCTTTTTTTCCTATATTTACTTATTTATTTACTTATTCTTTCAGTTTTTTGCTATTGTTTTTGTTTTGTTTTTTTTTTATTGTCGACATTTGTTTGTGTTCCTCAGCTATTGTTAAGTTGTTTGTCTCTTTTCCAGATACCACTCAAATGACGATTTACTATAAACCTCAAGCTAAAGGCGTCTTCTATGTAGAGGTCACAGGCAAACGATATCAGCTAAATTACTACGAAGCCCACAGGCTTTGTGAAATAAACAGAGCCACTCTCGCTACATACGACCAGCTGTTTGCAGCATGGGAAGTCGGTCTTGAACTGTGCTTGTAAGTTCTGTCTGAAGGCTTCGGCTTTTTAGTTTTATACGTACGCTTTCATGATAGTCATCATTATTATTAGCAGTTTCATCTAAACCCAACTATTATGTTTAATTTACCATTATGCAGTCTGTCGATTAAAAAATAAGTGTTTCACGAGGAGTTTAAGTTGTTCTGCCCTTTGCTCGCTGCTTCCAGGTATCTTCTGTAATGTTCGTCCGCTTCGGGTTTCTTTTCACAGTGTTCGTGTGTCGTAGCCTATGCTTTCCAGGGTTTCTCCCGCCTTTACGAAGCTAGGAGTACAGCAGCTGTCTGTGATAAATAAGATGGAATATCTGGTATATTATACTTATTTGTATAGAAGTTGCAGAAATATTTTTGGTAGAAAAATTGCCAGCAATTGCATAGGAAACGAAAATAAACAAACCGACAAAATTTTACTGGCTTAATTTCCCTTCCCCCGCTAGTATTATGTATAAAGTAAAATAATTTTTCACCCCACTGAATGCGTGACCTCTGATATGTGTGCTGAAATAATCATTCATCTCAGTGTCTATGGGAGTGGTGAGGGTGCACCTATACCCAGAATGATTAACTGATAAACATAGTCCTTAAAGTTAGTATATTAATCGTTCACTGTGTTGCAGATACGGATGGCTTAAAGATGGAACCCAACGCTATCCAATGCAAAAAGTACATGATAAGTGTGGAAAGAAGATTGGCATCGTAGGAAGCAATACAACTCAAAACAAAAGTGAAAAGAGCAATGCTTGGTGCTGGAAAGGTTGACAATTGGTAGTTGACAAACTCTAGACAGTCTTCAGCGCTACATGATTCAAGAAAACTATGTCAATTAATTATTATGTTTGCCTGTGAGTTTTAACGTTTGCGAGGAGAACTCAATCTAGTGCTCTCGACATAGTCTTCCTTCATCGTGTTTTTTTCGCTATTTATCCCTGACGTGTCTATATTCCCTTTGTACTCAGACAGCGTAAACTTAAGTTATCGCCTTTCAAAACAATGACTTACAGTAGCTTATTCAGTAAATAACAAATTAGTACAAAGACTATATCTGGATATTCCGTACGTTTCAATTAGCCAGCTCCAAGTCGACTAGCATAGCACATTATTTTAGTGATCAATCGCTTGGAAAGTCAAAGTTCTAAAGAGATGAACAGAGAATGGTTTGAGAATAGAGTCAAATTACTTGCCGTTACAAAGTGATGGGCTCTTAACCGTTAGGCGTAACGAACTCATGGGTTTCCATGCGAATGGTCACTTTAGTTGTAGTGATATATAATAAAACAGTTTTCAAACACCATGATGTCATGAAAAATAGTGACAGTTTGTCCCGAAGTGTTACTTACAAGTTATCCCTTCTGCAAAGACTCATTCTACACTCAAAAAACGCAAATGAAAACAACAAAGAATGACAAAGCGAAAGTTTTAGGAATAATTCATTTGAGACATTTTTTTTTATTTATCAATTTTTTTTAAGAAGCAAAGTCGCACATATTCATTGTTTTTACAAATGCTGTGCAGTCCAATTTTGACCATGCTTTGGTTGATTTTCCTGGAACTAGAAATTTACACGGATCGTAACAATTAAAAACAAAAAACAACAAAAAACAACAACAACAAAAAAAAAAAACAAACAAAGAGTCGTATGACAGTGGTTCGCTGAGGGAACATGTTATTTAAATGTACCTACTGAAAACTAGTCAACCACAATGGAACACAATGCCTTATCAGGTAATATAAACCAGTTTACCTCATCGGCTTACGAAAACCAGTAATATGCATTCGGAATGTGGTGACCATGCAATTATTAGACAAAGCATGGTACCTTGTTAGTGGTGGAGGGGACATTGGGATTTTCGGTTTTGGCTATTTTTTAGATCGGTTAATTATTCAACGGACTTAATTTTATTTTATTTTATTTAACAATTGTATTTTTATTAATGATTATCTTTGTTTAATTGTATCGGTATGTGATCCTTAGCAGAGACAGCACTTGTTTTAGAAGGGTGGCCCGCCTAGAATAGCTTGCTAATTGCGGGTCACCTAGGTCTGTGATAATATTGTATTGCTAACAAATAAAATTGAAAATTGAATTGAATTGAAAAACTTCAGTTTTTCAGTTTTGGTGTTCATTGCGGTTTGCGGATTTTCCGTTTTTTAGCATTTGGTTTTCGGTTTTCGCGAAAAATAATAACGGGTTTTCGGATTTGATATCCGATGCAGTTTTTGGCTTTTCCTATTTGACCTATTTGGGTTCCGGTTTCTCTACGATCTATGCGGTAATTACGCGGCTCCACTGATCTCGAATAGCCGCTAAACGCAAATGTTATCGAGGGGAATGCATGACAAACCAATTGAGATATCGCAGGGATCCTTAAGAAGCCTACGTGTAGCCGTACCCTCCCCCTCCCCCAGGGTGGGGGGAGAGGAGGGGAGGGTACCGCTACACGTAGGTTACGGCTAAGCACGGAACATTGCCAGAATTTCTTCATCAACGCCACCTCGAAGTTGGTGACCAAGCTACAGGCCACATGTGACTAATTGATTCAACATTCCAAAAGAAACTCCAAACTTTCAGGTCTTACTTCGCAAATGGAGATGTTTGATTGGGGATTTTCGATGAAACTTTCCAGAGCTATAGAGGACTCTTGTGCGAATTTCCTTAATTTAACGAGGCTCCATTACCAGCTGCTGAGTCCGAGAGAGCACGCTCGAGGTCTTCGAGATAGCAGCTGTTAATTTAAGCAGATACTAGAAGATACGAATTCCAAGTTCATGGCATTCATAAATCCTGTAATGAAATTTATGCAGTTTACTCTGCGGAGCTCTTCTTAGTTTATTTTCCAGCCCTTCATCATACTGAATAAAAATAAAATAAATAAAACTCTTCAGAACTGGTTGTAGAAGAGTTTTATTAAGGGGATAAAGAGACCAGTTGGGGGGGTGGGGAGGGCGGGAAGAATTGACGAGGTCTGGAACCTGGGGACAATGTTCTCACAACTTGCAAAGCGATCAACACACATACTAGGCAGCGGTGTCTTCAGAAAGCTTAAGACTTTCGTTGTTTTTCCTGATGTTTTGAACAAAATTTAGAGGATAAGGAATGTTTTATTCTTCAGATGAAGTGCTCGATGTCGGTATCGGTTGAAATTATATTTTGTTGAGCGTGACTTGTAATTTCGGTTTGGGAAAATGAGCCAAAATTGAAGAAAACGGTGGTAAACTACTTCGCGTTAAGACATCACTGGTCGATTAAAGTGTTTACACGTGAGCACAGCGACTCAGTAAAACAATATGCCAGAATGGTATGGGCTTCTCCTATATCTTCTCTTGAAGTTGCCAGGTATGACCGATTGCCGCACCGTTTTTCCCTGATGTTTCAACCTCTTCTGTTTGGCATAGAAAATTAAAAAGAAAACTAATTTCCAACTCGTCTTTGAACCTGTAATGTTTAAAACTTTTTCGCTTTTGGCTATTCTTGTTTTATGATTCTCCTCTGGCTGGAAATACACGACGTCTTTCTCTGATTTTTTTATTCGGTAACCTCTGCTGTAACTGCATATAAGGTGTATGTCTCCAAGAAAACTTGAGGCAATACCCGTATTTCATTTCCACATCACAGAAATCAATTCCAAACATCAATCAAGTTTTCTCTTAAGTTCAAAGGTTGAGTTGACGTTGTTATTGGCTATTTTAAATAAGTTCAAAAATTTTAGATGGTATTTCTCATGTTTGCCATTTATTGAATTTACTGGAAGATGGAGTTGTTGCAACATGTTAACATAAAATGCAACGATAAATTTTATTGATATGTAAAAAGTTTTCATTTGACTGGCAAATCTTTGTATCATATTTCAACCCAACCATTTTCCTCAGCTTGTAAACACCACCACAAAATAATTAATGAAAAATTTGTGGTGACATATGCACCATGTTGGAAATGCCATGTCCATAATAAGCTGACAGGATTGAGTAGGGTGGGAATAGGCTCACTTATCTGTATCATTAATTTACCAATTGCTCCTGTTGGCAATACGTTGATGAGGTTGGGCTCTCAGGGCAAAGGAGCAGAGGATTTTAATAAGCAGTGAATTTTCTTTAAAACCTGGAAACTATCATCGTGAAAGCCATACTTGTTCCTGGTAGCTCGTTCTTATTCTGATGAACTAGTTTTAAGAAGGATACAATACTTTATTACATAAATTTAAAGAATAGGCTGTGCATAAAGCTTTAATTTGACTTTAATTTTATAGCCAATAAGAATCCCTACACATTATAAAATTTCAGAAGGATCAGTGGAAAAAATGAGTCTGCAAGATTTCATGTAATTATATTAATTTATTACAAAGGTCAATCACCACCAAAATTAAATTTTCCCAAACGTCAGAGCGGTTGTCGAAAGGCTAACGCTCGAAACATCAGCTTTTTAACCCTCTATGATGGCTAATTTACGTTTACAACTCAGTTGTTAACACTAAATTACCTAATTTAATCTCACCCACCTTGAATGCAGAATCAAAAAACTAATTAACTTACTAGGGAATGGGAAAAAGTTCAATGTAATTTTCCTGCTTCTGTCATCCTGAATATTACATATAAATCAGGCCACCACTTTCAGTGTAATTTTTTTGATGGTGTGTTCTTTTTCTTATGAACACCTATTCTTAGTATCTATCTTTTATCAGCTGACATCTGAAAAGAATCAAGTCCACAATGGTAAATTGACACATTGCTAGCAAACCCTTACAACTGATTCAATTTTATTTCAATATCATCCCTGACTCAAACATTAAGGTCTTGAAAATGAATGAAATGTTAATCAACTGAAGAACCTCTGGATTGTTAGACAAATTCTCCTTGCCAGCACATTAGAAAAATTTATAGAGAACAGTAAGGAAAATATGCATACTGATGTTAGGGTGTAAAGGGTTAAAAACACCATGCAATCAGTTTTATTTATCTAGAGTATTGCTTGAATATATAACTGTGGTAAGTGCAAGTGCTTAGTACACATCATCCTATGGTCTTCCACTTTTCCACCTTGGAGGGTGCCTTCCATACAAACAAATTGAAGTTCATTGCCAAATTATCGTATCGCAAGCATCTTTATCACAACCCGGCAGTAAGTACGCCTCAAGATGTTGAGCGAAGAGAAAGTGGCTCCATGTTTTGTGAGACAAACCATTTCCTGAAGTTCGAATGAATCGAGTAGAAAGCATGAAAACATAGCGCTGAAAAGTACCGTGACTAAGCGATGAAATTCACTCATGCTGCAGTAGGACTATCCATAGTATCTCCGTTGGCGAGACTATGTACTAACTCAGTTTTACCTGTGAAGTTGTCTACACCACGTAATTTAATTCCCAGATGTTTGATGGGTTCTTACATCATAATATTGTCAAAATCAAATTACCGCGTCAGACTTAATGTAAACATGAACATCGTTGACTCAATCTCCTTTTATCCAGAGTGACAGACTGGTGACGAAACTCTAACACCGAAGCGAGGCTCCAGGGAACACGGCGCGAATAAGCAAATCAAACACACCACTGCAAAAATTGCAAGGAAAGCCGTTAACGTTTGATAAATCGAGAATTCTCGGTGTTTTTTTTTTTTTCGGTCCATTCTCGGTGTTTTTTTTTTTTTTCGGTCCATTGCACTTTATTTTCGCGTGTACCATAGTCAAGGACAACGACGAATGCAATGCACTCAAACTAGTCACCAACGAAACGGTTAGACTGAGGAATCAGAATTCGTTCCTGTTTTAT